TCAAGTTGATATTGTATTATAAAAAACAGTTTTCACTATCTATGTTCACAAGTATAAAATGAAAAGATAATGAGGAAATATTATGGTAGTATTTCTACCAAATAAATATTTCAAGTATTCATAGTAATGTATACATAACAATAATAAGTTAAGTAGCAATAACAGAGTGTTTACATACTGGCAGTGATAGCATTATAATACAAATTATATTACAATATAAAAAATAATGTAATAACTGAAAAGTATAAAAAATCAAAAATTCTGTTTTTGAATAGAAGGGAATATTCACTTTACAAACTTAAAAATACTAATAAAAAATTAAAGGAATTATTATGCACTACTTTTAATGAAATTTTAACAGCAAATAGAGAAGTAAAACATGTTGGATACATATATGGCTATTTGTAAATATTTACTGGTTTATAAAATGTTTAACACGAAAAATTTAACTTTGTGAACTTCTTGATAAAATATCTGCAACTTCAAATTTATTTTACGAAAAGTATTATTCCAATGATAATGGTTATTATTCCATAATTGAATGGTTGAGTTCTAATATTGTTGATAAAATATATGCGATTTCAATAAATTTGATCTACTGCTTTACAATAAATATTCGCATTTATTGGTTTTTTCTTAATGAAGAATAGTAATTGACTTATATTCATTAGATATTATTTATATTTTTTTAAATAGTTATTGCAGCTATTTAATCTTTCAACAATTTCACATTTCTAGTAAATATACGTAGATATAATTGTACAATGTAACATGCTACTATTGATCTTTTAATAGCAAAGGCAATATATATTTTCTTTAATTTTCAATAACATGCTATACTTGTACTAAATTATATTAATAAATAAATATATATGCATATATATTATTTTACAACAATAAATAGAACAATATATTATACTGCCAGCAGAGTGAAGTAAGAAACATTAAGTCCTTTAAATAAAATAATAAATAAAACATTGATGTAAAAGTTTAATATTATATTTTCTTTTGTTGCATTATTCATAAATATCTGGGTTTAGTAAAAAGTTAATTTTCTTTCATCAAATGTCAATTGTTTTGGTCGAGTCTTGAAGGTTTTAGATGTAACCTTTGAATTACATATTCAGGCATGCAGTATGTTGGATTAATCTTTTTTAGTGGATAATCAGCGTTTAAAAGAGAAAGTGCAGTCAAGCCAAAAAGAGTGTGGAATGGATCAGCAACATCTCCTGGACGATCACTAAATCCTCCTGATTCTGTGTCTTGACATGCAAGTATAAACTTTACCTGTAAATAAATATTAAAATGAAAATTCAATAAAATTTGTTCAATTGTTTAAATAATAATAGTATGTTACTATATTACTGTAAATAACAGTATTATTTTGCAGCATTATTAAACCAAATGTTGGTTAAAATACAAATAATTCAAAATTTATTTACACATTCTAATTGTTTTTCCATATATCTATGTTGTACCATACATGCTTATAGCTAAATATAAAACAAAGAAATTAGAGATATTACAATACATCAAATATAAAAATTGTTTCTTACACAGTTAATGAATTTCAGTTGAAATATTGTGTAATCAATATTTTGTTTTATCATTTTCAAACATGGAAGATATTAAAATATTGAAAAATTAGGTAAAAATAGTTTTTTTTTCTGTTATGGTAGATTAATTACAAATTACGCATTTGTACTAAAATCAACATTACATACAGTTAAAGTATAACATAAGTATGCATTTGAAGTAGAAATAAAATAATTTTTAATGAAGACAAGGATTAGAAAAAAATATATACATACATACCAATTGCTCTTTATTAACCCAATGAAGGCGTCCTAGAATTGTAAGTGCAGAAAGAACCCACCATGAATAGCAAACATCAGGTAATTTTTCTGGTCTACCATTTAATCCTCCAGATGAAAGTTGTCTTTCACAAAGCCACCAGCTTAATTGATCTGCATCTACTAAATGAAGATTACCTAGTGACATTTAACATTTTTGTATTATTTATTTTTGAAGGAAAATTATATTTATTTTACTTTTTTCTTGTATTTCATAGCATATATGATATTCTTTTGTTAATAATTCACTAAAAGCAAGGTAATTCAATAATCTTACCATATATAATAATGATTATTAAAATGATTTCAGAGAGTTTAATTTCTCAGTTAATGAAACAACTGTTATTGTTTAGTATATATTATTATTATCATTAAATTTCATTTTATGGAATAACACTAGAATAGTTTGTATAAATATTATGTAATGTATTATTTTTCTTATTACGTAATAAAGGAAGTTTCTAAATACAGAACAATATGCTACTTCATTTAAGAACTACCGTTGAGTATAAAGTTACTTTTTAAAAAAAGTAAGATAAAAACAATTTTCATTTTATCTCATTTCACATAAAAATTGAAGAATTTGTACCTTTTATTATTTTTTTATGCACTCACTAATCCTTCAAATAGATTTTTAGTGTAAAAAAATACTCCACATTTTCAATAATATCAACTTATTCACATTATAATTATGTATGAGCAGATATTTAATTTTTATATTTTTATAAAAAATGTCAGTAATAGAATATAATTACCAGTTATCGATAAAAGTCCTATTGAACAGTAAATCATACCAGCATGACTTTCAGCCCCAGGTTTTGATCCAAAACCACCATCAAAATTCATACATTTCATTACAAATTCTACTGCTTTATCAACATCTATTGCATCCAATCGATTCTAAAACAATATTAGCACATTTTATTTTCCATTAATTTGAATTTATGCTATTTTTATAACTTGGAATATTACACTGCATCATTATTAAAGAATTATTGAAATAGCTTATAATATTTTTGACAGAATATTATGTTTACAATAAATAAGTTAACAAGTTATATTTAATAAATTACTTAATAGCTTTAGTACATATTCCTTTAAGTATTTTCATATAATAATCATCTCTTGTGCTCTTAATTTTTCAATTATATTTTCAAGTTACACTTACCAAAAGAGATAAAGTTGCTACGGCACAAAAAGAAAATCTCATATCAACTTCACCCCAGATGTCACCAGTAAAACTTCCATCTGGTTGCTGCCTTTCTTTTACATATTTTACCACTTTTTCTAAATCAATAGTGTCTAAAGCATCATAGATACAAAGTATTTGTATTGCACTCAAGGTATAGAGAATATGTGGATCATGTTGCAAACTTGCAGCTATACCACCACTTTCTGTTTGACATTGAGCAATAAATTCAAGCACCTCATTTCGATTTGTTTGTTCAAGTTTACCCATAAGATCAAGTGCTGTTAAACCCCAGTACATTCCAGACATTCTCATGTGCTCTGTCATACAATATATCTAGAATTTTGTAATATAACTAGTAAAGGTATTATTCTTTTTTACACAGAAAATAAGCTCAATTGAATTTTATATATGTAATTACTTTTTAAAGCATTAAAAATACAAAAGAAGTATTCGTATATAAAAGTTTAATCAATAAAATTATTCCTTACAAAGATTTTTGTAACAATTAATTGTACATACTATAAAATATATTGTTCAGCTAATTATTAGAACTTTATCAGTTGTAAAATATTTATTGTAGTAGATCTTGTTGATTTTATTAATCAAAATCTTTGTGAACAGTTATTATCAAATTTTTATACTGTTTACACTTCTTCTTTGTATATAAATAAAAGAAGTTTTAAAATGAAATAACAGTTATTATATTTACATATTCATCCTTATCAGTGCCATAAGAAAGTAAAAAATTTGCATGTTTTTCCAGCAGCAAGTTAGGAATTGTAGCAGGTAGTTCGATGTCATGTTTTAACACTGGCTAAATCATGAATTGAAAAATATTTTTAATAAAGATATTACACCAATAGCAATATATTAAGTATATACTGTCATTCATAATTAAATATTATAATCCAAACCTTTTTGATAAAATGCTATATAAATCTCAATTTAAAAAAAAGAAAT